TCCTTTAATTTATGCAGATTATTTTTGGTGACAAAGTTTGGCATTAAAAATGGAGTGTTTTGGCTTATGTTTGGGTATTTTCAATTCATATATTATAGAGTGGAGTGGAAGTAGGGATGTACCTTTAACGACTTTTTCTTCTCCCAACAAAATATGCTTTGTCTCTGAGGGAATCCAGCAAGAGCAAAGCAAAAAAAGCACTGGTAGATGTTAAGGAAAGTTGCACCTTATTTCGCTCAGCGCACAAACTCAAGGACCTTGTCCTTTGTCACCTAACTTAGCATTAGAACCCAGTGACATAGGGATGTGTATTAACACATCTACTTGAGCCCTAATGGCGCGGCTCAGTCAGCTGGACACCAGCCCGCAAAGCAAAAGGCTGCAGATTTAATTGCCAGTCAGGCACATGTTTGGCCAGGGCCTGAGGCAACTGACTGATATTTCTCTCGCTCTTTTTGTCCCTCTGTTCCCCTCTAAGGATAAATAAATAAAGTCTTTTTAAAAAATCTACTTGAATTGAACAATAATGTCAGACACTGTGACAGAAAATGAGTCTGATTTGACTGACTGGTTTGACTATGAGAAATGGCCTTCCCAATTAGGTTATGTGGCAAATTTTTGCATAAATTAAATCAGTTAAACCTGAAGCACCAAGTTTTTATTATTTATTTATTTTTAGAGAGAGAGGAAGGAAGGGAGAAAGAGAGGGAGGGAAACATCGATGTATGAAAGAAACATAGATTGGTTGCCTCTCGCATGCCCCCAACTGGGGCCTGGCCTGCAACCCAAGCATATGCCCTGACTGGGAGTCAAATCAGCTACCTTTTGGTTCGCAGGCTGGCACTCAATCCACTGAGCCACACCAGCCAGAGCAAAAGCCCCAAATTTTTAAAGAAAATGTATTTCAAGAATATAATGCTTTTTTTAAAAAAGATTTTATTTATTTATTTCTAGAGAGAGGAGGAGGGAGAAAGAGAGGGGGAGGATCATCAATGCGTGGTTGCCTCTCAGGCGCCCCCAACTGGGGACCTGGCCCACAACTGAGGCATGTGCCCTGACTGGGAATTGAACCATTGACCTTTTAGTTCACAGGCTGGTGCTCAATCCGCTGAGCTACACCAGCCAGGGCTATTTCAAGTATATAATATAAAAAGTACTTTTTCATAAAAATATTAGATAGAAAAGGTGTCCTGAAATGTACAATATTCTAATTTTCCTAGCCCGTTCCAAGTATATCAGGTTAAACAATGTGACTCTAAGTAGATGAGTAACTGTTATAATTGACAGTAATTTGATAAACCTTGGTAACATCTTTTTAGCATACCTCCGAGAAAATGAGAAAGTGAATACTTCCAGTGATTTTTGAACACAAGTAGTTTCAAATTCTTTGCTCTCAACAAAAATTAAAGGAAATATAATCAAGTTGTCAGCAGAGAGTTTCAGTAATTTCTGATGATGGATTAGTATGTAATTTTTTGGCATATATATCAGAAAATATTCAACAAAATGTATGACATTGATGTCATCTATTTATAAAGTGGACAAGGTTTCTCAACACTAACATTTATAAAATAAAAAAATAGGAATATAATTTATTGCTGAACCTTGTCTAATTCTGGTGCTAAGTTATGTTCCTCACTCATATATTCATAGCAAAAAAAAAAAAAAGAAACAATAAATAATACAATTTAAAAATGGGCAGAAGAACTAAATAGATTTTTTTCAAAGAAGACATGCAAATGACCAACAGGGATATGAAGAGGTACTCAATATCATTCATCATCAGAGAAATACAAATCAAAATTACAATGAGGTATCACTTCACTTCTTAGAATGGCTATTGTCAAAAAAGACAAGAGATAACAAGTATTGGAGAGGATGTGGACAAAAGGGAACAATTGTGCACTGTTGGTGGAAATGTAAATTGGTGCAGCCTCTATGGAAAACAGTAAGGAGTTTCCTCAAAAAGATAAAAATAGAATTACCATATGATCCAGCAATCCCACTTCTGGGCATATATCAGAAGGAAATGAAATTGCTATTGCAAAAAGATATCTGCACCCCATGCATTATTCACAATTGCAAAGACATGGAAACAACCAAAGTCTCCTTCAATGAATGCATAGATAAAGAAAATGTGAGATAGGTATATGTATATATAAATATTATTTGGCTAGAAAGAAGGAAATCTTGTCTTTGGTGACAACATAGATGGACTTTCAGGGAATTCTGCTAAATTAAATGTCAGACAAAGAAAGACAAATATGTGTGGATGATCTTTGTATGCGTATCATCTTTGCTTGCATGTGAAATCTAAAAAAGCCAAACTCATAGAAACAGAGAGTAGAAGTGGGTGATTGCCAGGGGCCGAAGGTTGGGGGAAATGGCGAGATGTTGGTCAAAGTGCACATATTTCCAGTTATAAGATAAATAAACCCTGGAGGTCTAATTACAGCACGGCGACTATAGTTAACTATACTGTACTCTATACTTGAAAATTGCTGAGAGAGTAAATCTTAAATTTTCTCACACCATCTGCTCCCCGCAAAGGTAATTATGTGAAGTGATGGCAGCGTTTGCAAACCTCTTTGTGGTAACCATTTTGTAATATATACATTATCAAATCATCATGATATACACCCTAAGCTTACACAGTGTTATATGTCAATTACATCTCAAACTAGGGAACAAAAACTACTGTTTATCCACAGAAAAATGCATTTCAAAAAGAACCAGACCATCCCTCTCATTGGGGCTATAATTCCAATAACATTTTTACTTTTTGTTTAACAATTATTTATATAAATTTACAATATATTTATGTTTTGGTTGACACCTAATAATAATTGTAATGATAATTTGATCTGAAAGAAAAATTTAACAAGAGCCTTTTGTCATAAGAAGTAAAACAGATTTAAAATTTCAATATGTATACATTATTTTTGTTTCAGAGAATTATTGCAAAATGATAAAAATGATTAGAATGTGATAAAAGGCTTTCATGCATATGTTACCTGAGAACATAGTTCTGTCGAGAAAGTGCAATGGAAATGTAAGTTCATGAAGATGAAAGAATGAGAACATTTCTGATGTAAATGAAAAACTTATTCACAAATTTTTACAGTGAGGGCTGACTACTCTCACCCTTTCCCCATCTCTTGTAACCACTGCATGTATTTGCCTGAAACTTTCAGGAGGTGTCCAAGTAAAAAGTTTGAGAATGATTGGTTAATCCACTCTCTCAAAAAACGTGGGTGTGAAGTGGAGGAGAGGCAGCTAGAGGGAAGCTCATAGCAAAGGAAATTTTATTTTTTTGATAGATTTGACCATACGTGTTTGGTGTCATGCCCATTTTTTCAGACGAGATCAGGTGCATTCAGCATCGTTTGGCAGTAGATAGGTATTGTGACTATTTTTTCAGAAAAGAGTGGCCCAAAGAAGCTATGAGTTTACTCCAAATGGGGAGACCCTGGAATTAAACCCAGGCAATAAGGTTGACCCTTGAACGATATGGGTTTGAAATATGGGGATCCACTTATATGGTTTCCTTCCTGGGAATCTGAAGATGCAGAGGATCAACTATATACATTGATCTAAGCCATTTTACATAGGGGACTTGAGCATCTGTGGATTTTTGTATCCTTCAGGGTCCTGGAACCAATCCTCCTCCCTACGGATACTGAGGGACAACTAAGTTTTGGGGAAGTCAAAAGTTATACGTGGATTTTTTGACTGCCCACGGGTCGATGCCCCTAACCCCTGAGTTGTTCAGGGGTCAGGATAGGCTAGGTTATGCTGCCGCACCACTAACTCTCAGTTAACTTATCTCAAGTTCATTTCTCTCCTACCACACGTCCTAGTGTGGGTTGGCAGGGGATTTGCTCATCTTAGCCACTAAGAGACCCTGGCCACCAGTTGACAGCTTCATTTCCATAGTCAGGGTAGCTGGCAGACGAGATACTATGATACTCACTAGCTTTTAAGCTGATGGGCAGTTCACAAGTATTATTTCTGCGTGTTTCACATGGATCAGCAAAGTGCCAATCCTACCAGGTGCCTAGAAAGGGCCAGAATTGGAAACTTCGATGAGCAAAGCTAATAGGTAAGCTTTATTGACTACTACTTGTCATTTCTAATATTGGAAATAGCCACAAATTTGTATTATCTGATCCCTACTTTGGGACCATGTGAGAGGAGGGTAAAATATAAGACATTGTTAATTCATTTCAACAGATCAGAGTGAAATGGGTCTGGTCTCTGCCACTCAGTTGTGGTCATGTCAGCCTGGAAGTTCTTTCGGCTCTTTGGGCCCTTGCAGAGGATTTAATGCTCTTCGAGCTCCAAGGTTTTCTGGTTGTAATGTGCTTAGGCAACATGCTTTCAGCCAGCAGAGTGCAGTAAGGAGACAGCAGGAAATTCTTGCATTGTTATATCAATTTTAAAAGTCTAGGGTCACTCAACTTTTAACGTTTGACTCATCTGGGGGAGGTGTGGCCGGGCTCCTTCCCAGACCCTCTGGGAGCGGAGCATGAACGGTGGTATTTTTAAAGAGCTTCCCAGCTTCGTGCCCTGGGTGTTCTTGAATCCCTTCCTGCCTGTTAAGGGGCCGTATGACACCTAGTGGACGCATTCTTTTAAAAGAGTCTGATATCGAATCCTCTTTTTTTCTCCCAAGAGTTGTCGAGGTTGCATTTTAAAGGGGAGACGTCAAGTTGGAGGAAATCTGTGGGGCCCTGGCGCACTCCTAACGGGTTGGGGCGAGCTGGTTTCCCAGCTCAGGTGGCTGCGGTGAAAGCCAGCTCTGCACAGAGGGCGCCGCACGCTGGGGGCCGGGTCTTCCAAGGGAGCTTTAGGCAGGACCAGAGAAAAGGAAGAAGACTGGGCTGCTACGAGGCAGCGAGAGGAGGAGCGAGGACGGGTTAGGGAGGAGCCGGAGGAAACGTAGCCGCGGGAGGGAAGGCCCCGGTGTGGCCCTGCTTCCGGGAGGCGTCCTGGTCACCATGGCGGGCCTGGACAGCGGCCCGACCGTTCCCGTGTGGCTAGCCGAGGACGACCTGGGCTGCATCATCTGTCAAGGGCTGCTCGCTTGGCCCGTCACGTTGCCCTGCGGCCACAGCTTCTGCCGAGGCTGCTTGAAGGGCCTGTGGCGCGCGGGGCCTTCCTGGTCGTGCCCCACCTGCCGGGAGGGGGACGCGCAGCCCCTGCGACTGCGCAAGAACACGCTGCTGCAGGACCTGGCGGACAAGTACAGCCGGGCGGTGGGCGAGGGGCCGGACCCGGCGGGCGAGGGGCCGGACCCGGCGGGCGAAACCGCGAGCCCCGCCCCCGGCCCCGCCCCCCAGCCCCCGCGCCGCGCCGCGCAGCAGCCGGTAGGGTGGCGGTTCTGGCTCCTCTCTGTTGTTCGTCCTGTCCGCGTCGTCTGCACCCCGGCTCTTCCTCCCTCATCCTTTCTACGTTCACATTCCTTTTCTCCATCTACAAGTAGAACCTGCTCTTTGGATAGGTCAGAAAAAAGCAGGGAAAAAAAAATTCAGATCTGAAATTATATCAGCCTTGCTGCTATGCTCCTCGGCACAGTTCCACTTCCAGTCTTTCCACTATCTGCCTCTCTGAGAATTGTTTTATTGTGATAAAATATATATAAAAAATTTGCCATGTTAACAGTTTTTAAGGGTATAATTTAGTGGCTTTAGGTACATATACAGTGTTTTACAATCATCACCACTATCTATGTCCAGAACTTTTTCATCACTACAAACAGAAACTTTGTACCCACTAAGCAATAACTTTTCATTCTCCCGCCCCTGCCCTCCAGCCTCTGCTAACTTCTAATCTACTTATTGCCTCTATGAACTTGTCTATTCTAGATATTTCATATAAGTGGAATCATACAATGGCTGTCCCTTTGTGTCTAGCTTCTTTCACTTACCATAATGTTTTCAAGTTTTGTTCATGTTTGACCATGTGTCCAGACTTCATTCCTTTTTGTGGCTGAATAATATTCCTTTGTATGTATATATCACATATTTAAAAAATCCATTCATACATCCATGGACATTTGGATTGTTTCTACTTTTTGGTTATCGTGAGTAATATGGTAGCGAACATTGGTGAACAAGTATTGAAGTCCCAATTTTCATTTCTTTTGGGTAAACACCTAGGAGTGTATCTGCTGGGTCATAGTGTCTTTCTATGTTTAACTCATTGAGGAATAGCCAAACCATAACCCAAAGCAGGTACACCATTTTATATTCCCAACAACAAAGTAGGAGGGGTCCAATTTTCCCCAGCTTTTGCTCCTGGGACTTAGGTGTTTCAACCACTATTGTTTGCCCCAGACACCTGCAAGTACAGGTCGGCTTGCAACATTTGTGAGCCATGCCCACTGCCTTTCCGGCCTGAGCCCCAGGTCAAGTGAAACAAAGATGAACAATGAACAGTCTGTGCAATTCCTTCAGGCAGCCCCCAGCCAGCTGAGAACAACATACATGACAATTTGTGAATGAGGTTTGCTCTGCTCCTTCTGGAACCAGGACCAGGGCCCCCTGCCAGGAATTGTGAATGCTGTTACTGAGTCACGGAGGGAGTAGGCGAAGGGCAAGTAAGAACACCACACACTTTCCCACTGCCAGGTTGCCCTTTTTTGATTCAGTGTTTTCCTGAGTTCTAACAAAGTTGGTTCTGCCAGTTTCTACTTGTTTCTCGATGTTTCTGTAGGGCTGTGGGTGAAAGCTTGGAGCTGCCCACGCCACCGTTTTGTTGTTCTCTGGAGGCCTTTTTAAAAAAATCTTCGCCCAAGGATATGTGTATTGATTTGAGAGAGAAGAAAGGAGAAACATGTATCTGTTGCTTCCCATAGGCACCTGGACCAGGGATGGAACCCGCATCCTAGGTATGTGCCCTGACTGAGGATCAAACTCACAACCTTTTGGAGCATGAGATGATGCTCCAACCAACTAAGCCACCTAGCCTGGGCTCTCTGAAGTACTTTTAAACAGAGTTGAGGTTATGTTGTATAGCCACGTTATGTCCTTTAAAAAAAATGAATTAATAGACTTTATTTTTTAGAGCAGTTCAAACCTTACAGAAATTTGAGCAGATAGTATAGGAAGTGCTTATATACCCCTCACAGTTTCCCCTATTAGTAACACCTTGCGTTACTGATATACATTTGTTACAATTGATGAACCAATATTAATACATTGTTATTAACTAAAATCCATAGTTTACATCAGGGTTCACTCTTCCTATTGTACAGTTCTATGGCTTTTGACAAATGTTTGAGGTCATGTGTCTACAATTTTAGCAATCATACAGTTTTACTGCCCTGAAAATCCCCTAAGGTCCTTCTATTTGTACCCCCGACCCAAACTCTGGCAACTACTCATCTTTTTACTATCTCTCTAGTTTTGCCTTTTTCAAAACGCCATAAAGTTGGGATCATACAATATCTAGCCTTTTCACACTGGCTTCTTTCACAAAGCAAAATTAAGTTTTGTGATGGAGCTCATTTCTTTTTCTTGCTGAATAATATTTCATTGCAAAGATGTATCCCAGTTTATCCATTCATCTTTTGATGAGCATATTGGTTGCTTCCATGTTTTGTTGGGTTTTTTTTTTTTGTCATTATGAATAAAGCATGTTCTCTACTTTAAATCATATAAAGGGTTATCCCTCCAGTTCTTAAAACTCTTTGTTAATATAGGTTATAGTGACTGAATATACTTTCCATTGGATGTTAAATTAAAATGATTGTCTTTGGATGGTAAGACATTTCTTCTTTTTCTTTTTCTGTATTTTCTTAATTTGCCACAATAGATGTGCGTTTCTCTTAGGGATAGAAAACAATGCAGTTATTTTTAAAAGTGTTCCATTTGCTCAGATTCCAGGTGCTTGAATCTTTAGGAGAGGGGCCAGGAGATCTCGGAGCAAAGAGTGTTATCTCTCTTTAAAGTCTCCAAGATCCTTTCACAGTGAACAGTTAAGTAGACCCCTTTCCCTGTGGAAGAGAAGGAGGGATGGTCACTTTCATTTTTGAAAGGGGTGGTGTGGAGGCGAGAGTGGAGCTTAAACTTGAGCCAAGTGCCTTCTGCTGTACCACTCAATTTATCAGCTGCCACCTACCCTGCCAAATCTCCAGGCTCATTCCCATTTCTTCTGTAACTTCCCTTGTTCATAATGACCCCTAGGCTTCACTTCACACTCCCACCCCCCCCCGCCCCCACCTTGGTCCTGATAGATGGACTTTGGTTTCCTGTTATGGCCACTGGATGACCATTAAGGGAAAAGGTTTGGGGAGTCTACCTCCTTGTCCTCTGAATATTTTTGTCACTTCCTTGCCTGTTCCATTATCCAGTCTTTACTCTCTGTCTAGAGCTGATTCCTGGGTCCAGCTTTGTGTTCTGGTTTGCTCTTTTAAAGGTGGTGGCATCGAAGAACGTCACAGAAGTAGGTCAAGAGCTGGCAAACCTGGTGGAACAGCTTGTAGACATTGTCAGGAGCCTTCAGAATCAGAGACAGCTCCCAGAATCTGGACCAGACAATAAACTGAACGTCCCAGGCACGGTAGGCTCAGCTGGGAGAGGAGAGGTTGCGGGGGCTGGGGGTGGGGACAGGACTAGGGAGAGCTTTCAACTGGAGCAACATGAATATGTTTGCAGTTGAAGGACGCACTGAGTCTCAATCTTTTGCCATTCTCTTCACTACCCAGTAGGATGACTGGGAGTTTGGAATGCTTGAGGTGAGGTAGGAAAGCTTCAGCTGGCCGGGGTTCCATCCTATCACTCCACCTAACCAGCTCTCAGATCGCCTGTGACCTCGATGGAAATCCTGCAGACCCCCTAGTCCTCATCCTAACTGACCTTGTGGCAGCCTTAGGCACGGTTGTGCCCCACCTTCATTCTCGAAGCTTTCTTTTCCCTCAGCTTCTGCGACACAAGTCCTCCAGCCTTCCCCTGTTTCTCTCTGGCTGTTCCTTTTCAGTCTGTTTTGCAGTCTCTCTCTCCCCTGCTTAGCAATGAAATGTTAGGATTGCTCAAGGCTGAGCTGCGGGTCTCTTTCGCTTCCCCACACCATGGCTTTAATTAACACAAACATAGGTCCAGCCTGGCCACGGCTCTGAGCTCCACTCTGGTATCTTCCTTCTCGTATTTTCCTCTTGGCATCTCAAAGGCACATCACATTGACGTGCCCCAAACCGCTCCTCCTCTGGAATTCCCCACCTTACTGGCACCGTTATTCTTCTGGCACAAGCCAGAAATCTGGGAATCATGGCACCTCCTCCCTCACCTGCTGAAACATCTCTCCTTTGACACTTCTCTAATCCAGGTTTACGACCATTCTTGCCTGGACCGCTACAGTAGTCTCCTAATTGCTCCACTCTCCTCCCTCTAGTCTGCTGTGTTCGTGGTCATCAGAGTGATCTGGTCACGTAACTCATCTGCTTAAAACACTCCAATGACACCTGTATGTGTAGGATTAAGACCCGCCCCACCCCCGCCCTCACAGAACCGACAGGGGCCCTGCAGGATTCTATTCCTGTCTGCCTCTCCCATTTCACTTTCCCCAGCTCTTCCTGGCTCTTGAACTTGCAGCCACATCGACCCACATCAGTCCCTCCAGGGTGTTGTCCCACATTTTCCCACCACAGAGCTCACTCCATGGGATCTTCTTTCACGCTGTCACCTAGGTAGTGCCTGCTCATCCTTCAGAGCCCAGCTAGACCATCACTTTCTTGGAGGATCCCTCACTGATTTCCTTGAACAAGTCAAATCCCTCTGTTAGAGGCTCTCATGATTTCATGTACCTTTCATTTAGAGCAGTTATCACAGCTGCAACTTGGTAATAATTAGTGCCATAATTTTTTACTGTCTGTCCTCCCTCTTCTCCTGCACTGGACTGTAAGCTTCACGAAGGTAGAGACCTTAATGGCTTTTGTTCTTTTGTTCACTCCTGTGTCCCCAGGCCTAGCTCAGCACTAGACACTTCCCACAGAATGAGCGAGTAAGGAGGTCTCCGGGGATGCAATATGTGGGGGGTGGAAGGTCGGAAGGTCTGCCACTCACTAGTGTTATGACCTTGGGCAAGTCATTTTGTCTTTCTGAATCTCAGGTTTCCATCTATAAAAAAGGAATAGTGAGGCCTACAGCCTCATTAATTTGATGTGGGGATTAAAAAGGATTTTGTATAAGAAAACACTTTAGCAATGTGAAAATGTAGAACAATAAAATTAACCAAGGCAATTTTTAGTTAAATTTCATGAACTTTAGCTTCTTTTGCAAAATGGGGATAATAAACCTACGTTGGAAGGTTGTTATGCAAATTAGATGTGAACAGTGGAAGGTACTCAGTACGTGGTGCCTACTCCTGTTATGATTGGTGGAAAAAATGGGAAATGGCTTATGGGAAGTTGGGGAGGAAAGGCTGGGGCTGCAGGTGGGGAGGAGCAGATGGGAGGCTGTGTTGGGGACTAATGGGACCTGAGATTAAGGGAAATCAATGTGTATGTGTTGGAGGCCCCAGAGCCCGGCCTGGCTGCAGACAACAGGGCTATGCTGGCTCTAGAGAAGCTATAGGTTACAGTGATAGCAGCCTGGGGGAGATTATTCCAGCCTATGTAGCTTATCTCAGTGACTTGACTATCTGTATTATTTATTTTGGAAAGCCACTAGTATATGGGCCTAAAAACTTTTAACGTTTTTTTAGTATTACTTAAGAAATTGATATTTATTATACAAAATACTAGAAAATACAAAGCAGTTTAAAGAAAATTAATGAAAATCATCCATAACCCCACCACTCCTTAATATTTTTGCTGCACTATGTGTTATTCCAAGACGTGTATTTTGAGGGCCTAATTATGTTTTTTTTAATATTTATTTATTTATTTATTTATTTATTTATTTATTTATTTTTAGAGAGAGGGAAAGGGAGAGAGAAAGAGAGGGAGAGAAACATCGATTGGTTACATCCTGTATGTGCCCCAACCAGGGACCAGACCCACAGCCCAGGCCTGTACCAGAACCGGGAACCAAACCACTGACCGACCTTTCGGTTTGCAGGACGAGGCCCAACCCACTAAGCCACATTGGTCAAGGCCTAATTATGTTTTTAAAAATTTGTTAGGATGTAAGTGGAAAATTATGAAATGGTTGCAGAACTGGAATATACTATTCGATGCATTCCTGGGGAGACTTTCATTACTTAAAAAAATAATTATTTATCAATAGGTGGACCATTCCTTAGCTTCTCCGAAGCTAGTGACTTCCAACACACCTGAGCAAAAAATGAGAGACATTTTGCGTGACCTAGAAGATATCCAGGGGAAATTACAAGAAAAGTTCACAGGTAAAGAGCGCCTTGAAGGACAAAGGCAGGGTGAGTTGATTTTATTTAGAGAGGAGAATTAAATACAGAATTTGGGGGGAAGTGGTAGAGTGTTCCATGTCTTTGTTTTTGGGGGACATAATCCCAGAGCCCGGGGGCATTGTCACTGTGGTGTTGTAAATGAGGATGGAACAGGCCGAGGTATTTTGTGGCTGGCTATGTTTTGGGGACTGACTGGAGGTGTGCTAGACCACAGGTCCTTGAAGAGATAGAAACTCATTTTCTAATACCTATAAACCGAGAATCTGGACCAGATTTGGCTAGCTTACCACTTACCTGTGTTACCTATTGGAGGAGATTCAGAAATAGGCGGCTTTTTATTTTTAACTAGTCAATGTCTTTATTAACAAAACATGCAACTTTGTAAGTAGTTCTTGATATCTTCTATTAAAATGTAATCTCTGGAGAGTGTGTTACTATTAAACAGTAACAGTATAGCAAAGAACCTTTCTGTCCCAGCTCTGTAGGTTCTCTGTCGTTCCCTGGTCCTTATAGGAAAGCAGCGTGTGCCTCTCCTGTGGATGTTAGCTCCGCTCGGCCTCCCTCAGCTTGGCCTCCTGCTCTGGCTACGGCCAGCTCTATACACTGTAGAGACGTACCTCATACTTTTTTTTGAAAAAAATTTAAACCATCTTAAAAAGTCTCTGCTTAAAAAAGTCATTCCTTATTTAACTGGAGAAACATGAGTCCTTGGAAAAATTTTCTTTGGGAAACCAATTAAGCACAGTTTATTAGTTGTTACAAAAATTATCTGAGAAAGAAGTGCCCTACTGGCTGCTGTGTACTCCTAAATTTAGGTTGGATTCCTTAGCGATTTTATTTATTTATATGAAATTTAAAATAATTTAAAAATTCAACTTATTATTTTGAACTTAAAATTTTAAAGTTAAATTTTAAATTCAAAAACTGAAACAATATAAAAAGACATACGACAAAAGTTTTTCCACCCTTGTCCAATTCCAGCTATCCCCCTTCTCAGTTAACCATAGTTATTAGTTTCTTGAATGTCCATTCCGAATTTATTTATGCAAATAGAAGCAAATATGAATTTATATTCTTAGCTCTCTTAATCTTTCTTCACACAAAAGATAGCATACTATATATACTGTTCTGCATTTTGCTTTTCTTCTTTACTTAATATACCTTGATACATATATGAATCAGTCAGTACCTTAAGCATTTTCTCCTTTATATAATGCGTGATATTCCAGCTTATGGATATGCTAACATTTATTTACCCAGTCCTCCACTGATGGCTGCCTGATTACTGCTGACTGCTGATCATTACAAACAATGTTGATGTTAGAAACTATACACACATCATTTTATATGGGTGCAGATAAAGTGCCAGTAAGGGTTGCTGAACTGTAGGGTAAATTCACTTGTAATTTTGATATCCATTGTCAAACTGCCCTCTGTTGTGTTGTGCCCACGCTCTCACAGAAGAACAGTGTATCCCCAGAGACTGCCAGCTGAGTGTGTTGTCAAATTTTGTGATTCTTTTTGCCAATCTGATGGGTTAAAAAAAAGTAATGTATGCGTGTACTGTCCTTTTAATGTACATTTCTTCACAAATTGTGTTTATATCTTGTGTTATATCTTTGAGAAATGGACTTTTAGGAACTTTTTAGAAATTTGCAAGGTTATCAACCTTTTGTCTACGATAAGAATTGCAAATTTTGTTCCTCAACTTGTCATTTACCTTTTCATTCTGTTTGACATGGATTTTAGACTACCATATAGATGCTTTCATATTTTTTTAAGTAGGAAATTTTACCAATCTTTTCCTTTATGGGTTTTAGATTTTAAATTTTAGTTAGAAAACTTTACTACCCCAAGTTTAGAAGGGAATTTTCCTGTGTGTGTCTGTGTTTTTCTACTTTATATTTTACATTTAAATCTTTGGTTTCACATTTTACATTTAAATTTTTGACCCATGTGAAGTGTATCCTGGCATGTGTCCTAGTGAATTTTAAATGATATTTACATAACTTCACTTTAAAGACATACCTTTTATCATGTTTTTATGTTTAATTGTGTTGCTCTGAAAGTTGCTTCTTATTTAACAGGAGAAACATGATTTCTTGGAAAAATATTATCAATTTCTAAATTATTTAAGTATGCATTTAATTTCTTTTAAGTTTTAATTGTGGTAAAGCACACATACCATAAAATCCACCATTTTAACCGTGCAATTCAGTAGTGGTAAGTACATTCATATTACTGTGCAACCAAGCTCCAGATCTTTTTAATTTTGCAAAACTGAAAGTCTGTATTGTTTAAACAGTAACTTCCCATCCCCCCAGCCCCTAGCAACCACCATTCCACTTTCAGCTTCTATGAATTTGATTGCTCTAGATACCAGATATAAGTGGAATCATACAGTTAGTGTCTTTTTATGACTGGCTTGTTTCACTTAGTGCAATGTTCTCAACGGTCATCTGAGCTGTAGCATGTATCCGAAGTTCCTTCTTTCTTAAGGCTAACATTCATTGTATGTACATGCTACATTTTGTTTATCCATTTAACCAACGGCAGTCGGTTGCTTCCATCTCTCGGCTATTGGGAATAATGCCGCTATGAACATGGGTGTACAAGTATCTTTTTAAGATCCTGCTTCCAGTTCTTTTGACTATATGCCCAGAAGTGGAATTGCTGGATCATATGGCAGTTCTGTTTTTAATTTTTTGAGGAATACGGTGTACTTCAGTATTTTTTAAAATTCAGCTTATACAATTTTTGTATGCCTTAGCAAGTATGGTGTACTTCTTTCTTTGTGATCGTGTTGTTTTGATTACTTGGACCCATCTAGAACATTTTTAAAACAAAGAATCTGGATATATCCCTATTTCCTGAAACACCATTCCCTGAAATTTTCACCAGATTGTTTATAAAACAATAAATGAGTTGTTCTTCAAGTCACTGTTTTCCCAGCTGCCAAGCAATTTGACTGCCACGTCACAATGATTTCCTCTGGCCCTGGGCAAACGCGCCCAGGAAATCACATTTTAGGCAGAGCCAGCCTCCCTTAGCAGAGTAGCTGCAGGGACCTGTTCCTGATGGTGTGATTTCATAGTCCCCAGGGATCCTGGCTGCTTTCTAACACACAAAAAGCCTCTATCCTTTTCATTTAATAGAAAAATGAGATTTTTTTTAGATTCTAGTATACAGGCATTTCTCAATAATTAAATTTATATGATAAACATTTCTGTAAAATCAGCTGCTTACTGAAGCATCATTTTTTTTTTCTTTTACAAAACCTATTATAACCAGTGGGTAAACAATCGAGGCTATAGCCAGAGAAACTGATAGATCATAAAACTTCCTCTCATGAAATGGTAACCAGTGTTTTATTTCATAGTTACTCAACATTTATGAGTGTACATCATATATCATTTTTTTCAAAGTATTCTTTAAGAACCAGTAAAGGGTAGCTTATTTTCCCCCATCAGTAGGAGGGGGGGGAAAAAGGCGACCGAAAGCTAAAGACATTTTTTAACACTATGATTAACAGTAAGTAAAAACCTTACCAGCTCAGCATAAGAACAGCGATGTCCACCGGAATTTTGATCATGGCCCCTTGCAGGGCAGCTCTCCTCTTCCCATCGCCTCACAGCCCACACCCCCGACGGGGCCTTTTGTCCGTTCGCAGTCTGACTCTTGGGTTCACTTTAAGCTGCTGTTACTTCAAAATACAAATGGGGGAAGATGTCACCTTCGTAGTCCATACTCTGACATGTCCTTTACTTTCTCTTCTTCCGTCTGGCAAATGAGCCCTGGAGGCAGACGGCAGCTTTAAGTTAGCAATTAAACTTCGGTCCGTCGGGAGGGAGGTGGGAGGTGTCAGTGAGTTGAGTTGACTCTCACACCAACCCATGGGCCCTGGTTTTCATAGCAGTTTAATGCATGGACATGGGGTTCGGGGATGTTCTGGGTGTCAGGGCACTGTCATCCCTGGAACCGTATGAGTTAATTTATCTGATGAATATACATCAAACACGTCCTATGTACCTGGCACTAGGCTTGGTTCTTAGGACACAGAGATGACCAAGGTGCCAGCTACGAGTTTAGAGGCTAGTGAGGAAGGAGTGGGCACGCGCATCGCGAGGACATGGGGCCTCACCTGAGCTGGCTGCGCTCCCCGGTCACGTCCTGACACGAAAATGGGCTGCAGCTGAGGAAGACGAGCCATGTGTCCTGACCATTATGTTCAGATACCTTCTACTTGCCTTTTTTTTTAAAAGCTTTTTTTAAAAAAAAATAATCTTTATTGTAGTTTTTTCCATTGCCTTGTTTAAAATAGGACTTTTCCCCCCTCCCAATTTTTTTTGATTCCTTAGTTAAAACCCCGGAAAGCCAGGCTTCCTCCTCATGCCCACTGACTGGCCGGAGCTGCCTCGCATCCTGGCTTGTTCAGCGTAAGTATGTGGTCTGCTTAAAACTCGGGTTTGGCTGGCGGCAGAGGGGAGCTGCGAGAGTGTGCAGTGTCCATCCCCCTGCTGCGAGGCCTGCTCACCCCAGACTAGGTCCCTCCACATGGGGGGCTGATTACCAAGAGAGGGGGGTTAAAGGCTCCCAATTCCAGGCTAAGCCAGACCCGTGAGCACTCAGAGCCCAGGCAAGCTGCGGGAATCCATGCTGGGGCGCCTCCTAGAGCCAACTGCCCATTGCCCAGCTCAGTTCCTGTCCCTGTACCAGTCTGGGGGAGCCAAGAGAGCTTGATTCTGGAGCCAGACAGCTTGGGTTTGACTCCCCGGCTCCTGTGCTCACGAGCTGTGTGATCTTGGGCAAACGGCATAACCTCCCAGAGCCTCAGTTCCATCATCTGTAAGATGGAGATAATAGTGCTTTGTCCCTCACAGGATTGTCACGAATGTTAGATGAGTGAATGTGTTTAAAGGTGTTCCTAGAACAGTGACACTATGTAAGTGTTATAATGTATTTATTCAATAGGAAACAGTATAAAATATATGAAAATGAATAAGCCATGATCCTTAGTCAGGAAGCTTACGCCTAAGTAGAGAGAGGTAAACAGCCGTGGTCATAAGTCACTGTACTACAGGTAGAAGATGATATATTAAAGAACAAGTAAAATCCTAGGGGTGTTGAGAAAAGCAAGAGGTCACTTTTTGCTGGGTGGGATTCAGAGAGGGCTTCCTGAAAGAAGGTTAATGGTAAGTAGAGATCAAGGAGGGAAAGGGGTATTGTTAGTAGATAACATCAGGGGTATTGACAGAGAGTTAGCAAGTTGACGTACCAACATTAGTGTCAGTGTGAGTAAAACTTGATCGCACCCACAGATGCAAAGCTGATTTTTACTCTTTGAGGCCCTCTTAGCATGGACAATCAGAGATGGTGGCCACATTCTTTTTTTTTTTCTTCAGGGGCCATCAGTCCAACCTTTGACCTGAGGAGCCTCTGCTGTAGCCTGGAGGTGTCCGAGGACTGCCGGAAGGTGACTGTATCTCACTTCCCACAACTTTATGATTGGAGCTGTGACAGGTTTACAACCTGCCAGGTCTTCTGTTCCCAGGCCTTCTCTTCCGGGCAGCAGTACTGGGAAGTGGACACTCAGCATTGCAGTCACTGGGCAGTTGGCGTGGCTTCCTGGGCGATGAGTCGCAACCAGACCCTGGGAAGGACCAGGGACTCCTGGTGTCTGGAGTGGAAGGGAACGAGCCAGCTCTCTGTGTGGCACATGGTCAAGGAGACTGTCCTTGGCGCAGAAAAACCTAAGGTGGTGGGCATCTTTCTGGACCTGGACCAGGGGAAGCTTGCCTTCTATTCCGTGGCTGATCAAGAGAAGCTTCTGTGGGAGTGCCCCATCTCTGCCCCCTTGCCCCTGCACCCTGCCTTCTGGCTCTATGGTTTAAATCCCGGAAACTCTCTGACTATAAGGCCAGTAAGGGCGTAAAGGTTAAAGCGCAGCCGTTTCCCATCCTCTCTCTCTGCCTTCAAGCAGGGTAGAAGCTTGACAGGAATCCCATTCTAAGGGGTGTGCAGTAATTAACTCTGTAGGTTTGGGACGTTCAAATTCTGCACATTAAAGAAAGGAAGGGCCCTTGATTGCTCCTGGGAGGAAATCTCTAATCCCTTGGAATATATGGCCTGATAAGAGTGTCATTTACCTGGGCGCCCTAGGCCAGGAGGTATCACCAGCTTGGCTTCTGGGGAGGCTGGAGGCCAAGGTCAGCCACCTGACCGGCGAGGCCTGTCTGCCCGACTGACTTCCTCCACTCAAAGCCCTGGATGCCAAGGCTTGGGTGAGTGTCCCTGGTTGACAGTACTCCTTGCACGTTGTCACACACGGTTGCTGGGAGAGTGAAGCATTGTTGCTGTGACTTCACTGGGAGAGGATTTGGGTGTCTCCTGGCTCCTGCACTAGGTGCCGTTTTTTTTTCCCCCTGCTGATTTTAATATGTATCTTTTCATTGTAACCAAGCACATACAAACTGTAACCAAGCACATAACGTGTTGCTGAGTTCTAGTGAATCACGGAAACTGAGAGTGGTTTTAGGGACCCCCCGAACACAGGGGCATGTTATGAATCTCTGTAATAATGTTTGCACAAATATAGTGATTTCAAACAACATGCATTCATTGTCTCAGTGTCGGTGAGGCAGGAGTCGGGGCACAAGGTAGCTGAGGCCTCTGCTTCAGCCTCACAAGCTGCGATCAGGGTGTGAGCTGGGGCCGTGGTGCCACCAGGGGCTCGGCTACAGGGGGATCTGCTTCCCAACTCACCGGGTTGTTGGCAACACTCATTTTTCTCATGGGGCTTCCGTTTCTGTTGAGTATGGGTTTGATATGATTTTAAATCTATTTCTTTATGACTTAAATTGTTTTAACCCTGTTTATAGCAAAGACAAAAAATGTTTTTAGAAAGAAAGTTGTTCTGATATATGAGAATGAAGTAAGTTGTGTCAGGATGTCTTGGTTTTGTCTACGGTGGTTGATAAGCTCTCAGTAGCTCAGCTGCTAAGGGGCCCTCTTGGGGGCTTATTGATAAGAACAAGTGGAGAAGCAGCTATGGCAAGAGGATACTTAGACTATAAATACTGGTACTTGGCCGGTGGGCTTTGTCATGGTGGGCTTGCTGAAGAGGACTACTGGCCTCGTGGGATTGGCTGTATGTAAGAGTCTGCACCAGAGACTAAGGATATTGTACACAAAGATTCTTCTTTTTTTTAAAGATTTTATTATTTATTTTTAGAGAGAGGGGAAGGAGAAAGAAGGAGAGAAACATCCATGTGTGGTTGCCTCTCATGCACCCCCTACTGGGGCACCTGGCCTGCAACCCAGGCATGTGCCCTGAATGGGAATTGAACAGGCAACCCTTTGGTTTGCAGACCAGCGCTCAATCCACTGAGCCACACCAGCCAGGGCTGTACACACAAGATTCTTGATGCTCATCAGCTAATCCCTAAAAATGCAACATATAGGAAGTCTACGGAACAGATTACAAATAAGAAGCTGGACGTGGTTAAAGGAGAACCAGGTGTTAAAAAATTAGTTGACCAACTTCAGGGTGACCAAAGAGAACAGGAGTTCTTCAGGTTGAAAATGAACTAAGTCTGGCAAAAAAAAATGATACAATGGAAACCATGGGATCCGTTCGTGGAGGAGCCTGCTGCCAGCCCATGGAAGTGGCCAATATAATCATCATCAAATGACTTGTGTGCCGATGGAAAACTGAGGTAATTAAATGTTCTGTTATATGAAAAATGTTTCCATATTATTGACATCTTATAAGAAAACGATGCAGAACCTATTTAGGAGACTTGTTTAAACTGATGATTATGGTAATAGGCACCTGTGAATTAGTTTTTGTTAAAGCATTCATTGAAGTTATTTCAAGATATTTTTTTAAATAGAGGTTCTGGGAAAATTTGACAGTTAATTAGAAAAATTCCTATATATCACAATGGAGAGGCCATAGTCAAAACGTGAAATATTTTTAGTAGTATCTTCAACACATTTAATTGTTTTTTTTATTTTGAAGAAATCAGAAGAGGAACTTATTATTGCTTAAACAAATGTGTAGGTCACTGTTCAAAGTGAAGTAGTAAGAGTAAAAAACATCAAATTAGAATTCATTGTACAGCTGAGAACATTGATTTTGTATTTGAAAGAAAGATTTCTTATTTACAGTTGTAGTTGGAAAAACTTTTTCTTTTTTGCCTCATTTAAGGAAGTTAGTTTTCTGGCCCTTAACCAAACTACATCAGGATGGAGAGAGAATTTCTGTAAAAGAAGAGATACTAAGAGTTCCTAAAGTTTATCTGGCTATGGATAGGATTATATTCAAAATATCTTCATTGTATGGTTATAAATTCCAAATGGAATCACTAAGTAGTTTTACTAAGTTTCTGATTATGATTGTAGCTGGGTATCAAGCAGAAGACAAAACTGTTCAAGAAAAGAAGTGATTGACAAGTTTAAGGTTAAACCAAAATAAAGTTGTTTCAGATGTCCTCACTTTTTCTTCCTAGCCCCCATCACTACTAAATACTTAGTTAAATTTGATATTTCTTACCCTCAAAGATAGTATTTCAGGGGTTTTTGGGGGGTGTGCATGTGCATGTGTGTTTTGCTATCTCTGTGGCAAAGCAGGATCCTTAGAATTTTCAGAATGAGAAAAAAATTGTATTTTTATTTTTTCCCATACATTTCTTCCCTTATAGAGCTGTAAATTAAATGCTAAATAAACATTAATTTTTAAAAAAGACTAACAATACTGAGAGCTTGCAAGGAATATCTGCGAGTTTCGGTCTGGGCAAGGCAACACTTTGCTGACCTAAATTAACTTCGGGGTGTTAGCCCCTACTGTAGTAAAGGTGACTCTTACAAGCAGTGGCAAAAGCCTTGCAGCAGCTTCTGGAAGGAGATCGTCTTGCCCACCACTGGTGCCATCGTTCCCTGGCAACGTGCTCTAGCAACAGGGGATTATTCCTTTTGCCCCGGCAGCTCTTGGTTGGCTAAGCCTTCTCTTTCAAGTATCAACTCTTACAAAGGTACATCGCAACTCAAGCTGGACTTTATTCCTTTCAACTCCCCTTGCTTCGAACAATAGGGTAATTAATCTATTGCTGGTTCAGAGTATGTTATTTCTTGATTGGCTTACTAAGCGACATTATCCTGTGTGCTTTTGGCTTCTGAAATTATAATTCCCACAGTGAAGCTGTGTTAAGTAAACTATTGTCAAAGACAAACTCAGTCTCTGAGCATAGTTTGCCCTCAAAACAAAACAGGTGGAGAGTCATGGGGGCTACCTCACAGTCTGGCCAGCACAGGGTACATCGTTTCGTACTCGATTTCTCCTATTTTTAAAAGTCATTTTATTATATATACCAGAACAGATACAGAAAACTACACAAAACGTGTGGAGCAGAGTGAATTGTTAGAAGGTAGACACCTTCAGGTCAAGAAATAAAAGCTTGCTCCCTGCCCCCGGAGCTCCTGCATGTGCCCCATGCCAATCACAAAACCCTCCTTCCACTCGAAAGGAATCCTGGCTTTTATAGTGATCACTTCCTTGCATTTCTGTAGAGTTATGCATCCCTAGCCACCAGAGTTTAGTCTTGCCCATTCAAAAAACAAACAAACAAACAAACAAACAAAACATTAAACAAGAAACGCATGTCTTTTTCTTAACAGCTTTGTAGAGAGGTAATTTCCATACCATAAAATTTACCTATTTAAAGTGTTCAGATAGCCCTAGCTGGCTAGCTCAGTTGGTTAGGGCATCCTCCGGATACGCCAACGTTGTGGGTTTTATCCGTCTCAGGGCACACACAGGAACCGACCAATGGCCCTGGCTGGTGTGGCTCAGTGGACTGAGCGCTGGCGTGTGGACTGAAAAGTTGCTGGTTTGATTTCCCAGTCAAGGCACATGCCTGGGTTGCAGGCTGGGTTCCCCAGTTGGGTGTGAGCAAGAGGCAACCAATCAATGCATCTCTCACACACTGATGTTTCTCTCCCTGTCTCCCTCCTTTCACTTCTCTCCAAGAAGTAAATAGTCTTAAAAAAAAATAGTAAACCAATGAATGCATAAATAAGTGGAACAAATCAATGTTTCTCAAAAAATCAATAAATCAAATTTTTAAAAAAGGGTACAGATCAATGTTATTTAGCATAATTACAGAGTTGTGAAACTATCACCATAACCTAATTTTAGAACATTTACATCAACCCCAGAAAGAACCCTCATACCCATCAGCAGTTGGTACGTCTTTTAAGTCCCCTAATCTGCATGCCTCCCCCTCCCTTTCTTTCCCTTACAATTCACCTGTAGGATGCCGGGCTGCATTGGCACCTACAACGAAGATGTGAAAATTCAGTTCTGCTGCCCTGGGTGGAGCTTTGTCACAAAAACCAGTTGGACAAACTTTGACAGTGCATTTAGCCTCTTTGCCTCTCTTTCTCCTGTAACATGGAAATAATAATTTTCCTTCCCCTACTTTTTTCCAAGCGTTGCTGAAAGAACTAAATAGGGTTGCTCAGGAACTGGAAAAATGCCGGGATGACCACAGCCACAGCAACAAGGACAGAACTGTATTTTAATATCACGCACCTTGGCCTCTAACATCTTGAGATTCGCACTTAATTTTGGTACATATCCCCAAAAACAGGGACGAGCAAAATTCTTCTGCATAATAATCTTCTGTGTAATTTGCTCTCTGAGCCTCACAACTGCCCTGCATAATGAATATTACTATTCCGTAATCATACATGAGGAGGTGGAGTCTAGGACAGGATTAGTGGTTTGTCCGGGGTCAAACAGCTGAGTGCGGCAGAGCCAGGAGCAGGTCCCGTTTTCCCCACTCTCAAGTCTCTAACCTTAACACTCTCAGGCATGGTCTGCTCCCATGCTGAGGCCAGGACCTAGTCTTCCACTCTGATAGGGCACAGTTAGCTCTAAAGTCTTGAGATGCTCTTTCCCTCTGCTTGTTGGTGGTGGTCCTCTCCTAGTAGAGTGGCCTAAGGTTAGCACAGCATGGACAGGGCTTCTGTGTTTGTGCCAGATGACCATTAAAGGGCTATGTGTGCCCTGGCCAGCAACGCTCATTTTGTTAGAGTGTTGTTCTGACGCTCCAAGCTTGTAGGCTTCGTCCCCCATCAGGGCACATACAGGAGACAGCAAATGAATGCACAGGTGGGTGGGACAACAAACAGAGCGCTCTCTCTCTCTCTCTCTCTCTCATATCAATGAATAAAATGAAGAACAAAACAGGATTTTTTAAAAAAGCCTCTGTGTGCTCACACTTTCTGCATTATGGAGCTTTTAATTTCTTATCTAGAGTCACCATGATGTTTGCGTGGTAAAAGTGCTGAGAATTTAGGGGCCAGAGTTTTAGCCACTTGAGGTCCTTTGGTTAAATACTTTCCTTTCAGGCGCCTGGATAATGGGGCCTCTATGAGCCTGGGCTTTATCAGCTGGTCACATGATTTCCCCAAGCTGGACCCAAAGCACGAGAATCATACAGGTAGAGAATGAAGGTTATCACTTCTGGTTTCCTTGCTTTTGTCTCACATTTTCTGTCGGTATATCCCTTTCTGTGCATTGTGGAAAAGTGGTATCCTTCCCTAGAATAAAACATACAA